ATGGGGATATTAATTTTTAGTGTTTATTTTTTTTCTATTCTCTCCTCCCTTTGCAGTGCACCTTTCCTCGCTTTTCTATACATGTTCATGCTTATTTGTTTTTCAGTCATTTCGACTCTCTCGCCCTCAGTCTTTCCACACTCTGTTCTTGGGTGCGCGTTGGCTATTTTTAAAAGTGGCCAACCGAAAATATTGAAATATGAATGCAGTCACTGCATCTTGTTCCGCAGCTTCCCGCTTCGTTGTGAGCAGGCACTTGTCGTTCATTCCACCTGCCAAAAAATTTATGAAAAAAAAAACGCCACACAACTTGCTTGACACTTTTAGCCCTATTCTCCTGCAGCTCCACACTCTGGTTTTTACACAGAAAACAAAATGTGTGTTATTATAATTCTTGTGATAATTTTTATGTAGTGAAAATCAAAAGTTTAGATCAATTTCATTCACTCAAATTTTAATTCTGATTCCCATATATTTTTACACTCATAAAAAATATTTTCTATATTTATATTTTAAGAAAATTTGCCTTGAAACTAAACTTTTTTCTACAATTTGGCACAAATTTCTTAAATTTAAGGCATAAAATGAAAGACAAGCCACCATAAATACAAATTTATCGGGTTAACATTAATATATTTCTTGAATTAAGGGCTTAAAAAAAATGTTACACGTATGCCCATATAATTCCCAACTGGTTCTAACTTTCTTGAAATGAAATGACGGTTGCTGAAGTTCAAGAAACTTGGCTTTAGATGTGAGATTTTTTTTTGTTCTGACTTTAAAGTCAATTTTTAAATTTCTTAATTCTTAAAGCATATATTATTTTTTTTTCTGTGCACACGTTTTGATATTTTTGGCTGGCTTCAAAGTCGTCCGCGTGTTACGTATTAAAATTAGTATGCAATATTTTTGTTTCAAATGAGGGACAAAGAGAGCGAGAGAAAGAAGAAAAAAAAGGAGGTGGAGAAGTTCAGGTTGCGCTTTTTCCCCCTTTTCCCCAGCCCCTCCCCCCTCTATTTCCACGGCTCTGTGTGTGCGTTTATTTTTGAAGTGTTGAAAATAAACCGTAAATAATCGCGTCGCTCGGGCAGCTTTACAATCAATTCACTTGCACACATGCTCTCGTCTATATATACCGATGGATATGAGTATGCACGTCTATATGCGTTCATAAGTATCTGTGTTTATATTTATAACAAGTTGCTTGCACCCGTCCAACCAAGCAGAAGCAAAAATACAAAAAAAAAAAAAAAGAAAAAAATTATAAATAAAAATAAAGCAGAAGCAGAAGCAGCAGCAGCAGCGGCAGCAAGGCAACAAATTTAAAAATTATTGGTAATAAAAATCCACCTTCACTCCCCCTTTCGCATTATTATGCATCGTAAAATCTTGATATTTAATATATGTTTTGAGTGCGCGCCTCGCTTTTGTGTGACTTTAAATATTCCGAAAATGAATTATATAAGTGTGCATAAGTTAGCGTTTAAGTGATCACAAAACTGACATTTAGACGCCCCGCCTCCGCAGGTGATTTGTACGCCACAGGGGGGAGCTGATGATGGGGAGATGCTGTTGTTGACCCCCCAATATGGTCCAGATGATTAACCCAAAAATGGCTTTTATATTCATGCAATTAGTCTTTTTATTAGCTTGTTTTAATCGGTGGAGATATCTGTGTTTTAGGAGGCGACAACACCTGAATGCAACTAATTAGGGTTATAAATTCTTCAAGGAATAACTAGTTTCATTAATGGTTTTGTTTTCTGAAAATATTCCAAGAAGAGTTGTAGCTAAACATATGGCTTACAAGTAAGCTCACTCTCTCTCTTTCCGCTGACCAGTTGGCCTTTTCCGGTTGGACATTCTGTCTCTCTCTTTATTTTTTTTATGACAAATTGTCACGAGTGCATTGATGCAAAAAACTTAAATGAAGCGACATGCTGTTGAAATGTCTGAACCGCCTTTTTGGGCCCTAGACATTGCATGGGCCTTGCAGATACGGGGGCCACAGATACAGATACAAAATATTCAGCCACAGATACGGGGGGACAACAACAGAGTTGCGTGCACTTGCAGATACACTCGACCCGAACCGGGGGCAGCTCGTCGTCACTGACATACATGATATATATCAACAGAGAGCACAATATAATGCGAACGGGTCCGGGAACCTGAAAACTAATATGGCTGGATGGAGGAGGACGTTATCCAGAAGTGACTAAGCCCGCAGCATGGCCTAATGTTCCCCCCGGTCTCAGTCTCAGTCTCTTGGTCCTCCACAAAAATGTCTGGGACATGGCTCTCGGATTACAACAGGGCCCAGAAGCAATTGAAAACTGAGCTTGACAGTTTTTTGTTCGTTTTATTTTCGGTTTATGAATTGCCCCGAAAAAAAAGGAGAAGAAATTGAACTTGTCTCGGTGTTTGGCACTGGGAAAAACTCGGATATCTAATTTTGATTGTAAAGGAGAGTCTGTATTACAACCTGTGGTAAAATATTTTAGAAAATAGTTTGTATTACAACCTGTTGTAAAATATTTTGGAAAATATTCTTTCTGAAGTCTCCTTTATTTTTCAGATTTTTTTAACATTTGTCAACCTTTTTGTAATTTATAAAATTCAAATTCTGTCATTATATTATTTCTCTCAGTGATCATTCTCCCCCTGCCCAAATATTTCCTTCTTTTTCGGTTATTTTGGGTTTTGTTATAGCTGCTTACCGTTAGAACGGAGTCTGAGTCTTTGTCTGGAGCATTTGTGGGTCTTCCTGGAACCGTAAGCAATATGCCCGAAAAGGGGTTTCAATTGGGGGGAATGGAGGAGGAGGAGCTTTCTTCAGTGGAGGAGCAATTAAATGTGCAACCAGAAATGGCAACAAACGAAGCGAACTCTCTTCTTTTGTTGCAATAATTCAATTAGCACTCTTTCGGTTTCGTTCCTTCGGTTTCGTTTCATAAATGTATTAGCTGTGTGGATCTGTAATTTCCACTCCCCCCGTCCCTTGGCTCTCTTTCTTTCTTTATATTTTTTTTAATTAATGTGCAGTTATCATGCAACCCGATTAACAGTCGAGTGCCGTCGCTGGCGCTGTAATTGCAACTTGTTTGTTATTTGTAGTCCAAGTCAGCAGTCAGCAGTCAGCCGGCACTCGGCAGTCGGCAGTTGCCTGTCACTGACTCTGTTCTTGTTGTTGTTATCTGCCAGGAATGCTAATTATAAGATTAGCGCCGTAGCCCAATCTATGCTCCACTCGCATGGCATATATTATATATGTATATATATATAATTCTCTTCTGACTTTTTCCGTTGGCGGAATGAGTGAGTGTGTGTGTGTATAGCTGGGTGTCTGCATATCTGTGTATCTTTGTATCTTTGTATCTCCATCTGCGGCACTTGGGTGATAGCGTACACGCACATGACACTTGACAGTGTCGTTGGAGGATCTGGTGGTGATTGTTGGTGTAAAATTGGAGTGGGTTTTTTGACCGTTGGTGTGTTATAAATATTTGTTGTGTTTTTTTGTTAATTTATAAGAAGAGGTGGAAGAATGATATAGTTTTAAATGATGATAGTTTTGATTCCAATGAGTTTTTATAGATTTTTGAGGTGTTTAAAGAACTTTGATTAAATTCACCAATGTGCTGTTGTTGAATTATGCTAATTGAATTTAATTTATTTTAAACTAAAATTTTTAAAATATTGTTAATAATGTTCAACAATGTTGTTGTAACAAGGTTGTTGAAACAATGTTGTTGAAACAATGTTGTTGTAATTATAATATTATTCGTAACTCTAAATCCTGAAATTGTATCTTTTCTGTGGTTTTTCCTACCACTACTGCTGTTGTTGATTTTCTAACTCCGAACCCTATTCATTGTGGTTTTATGTTTAAGATTTACAATCGTTGACGTGACCCTTCCCTGACACATTCTAAAACTTTCCCATCATCTGCAGGCCCCCAACCACAGCTCTTCCAACATTTCGTATGCGGTTAATCAAAATAATAATATTTTCCAGAATTCTTCACTTGGCAATTGTTTTTCATGTTTCTCTACTTTTGTTATCAGCATCAGTTGCTCCTCAGCTCGACATCATCAGCAGCAGCAGCAGCAGCTTTGGCCGCAAAAACTATGCATCAAGCATATATGCATTCCCAGCATACAGATACAGATACAGATACTTATGAACCTACATAAGTGTGTATGTTTGTGTGAATGTATCTGGGGGATTGCGAGAGGCCTGGACTGCTCTCCCTGTTTCGTATCTGTCGTGTGCATCTCTTGAACTATCAATTTAAATGTCAGTTTAAATTGTAGAATTTTTCATTTCGTGGACTTCGTGCATGAAAACTATAAAAATGTTTTCATTGTTTTTTTCTTTGCCTCTCTCTTTGGTGTTTTTTTTTTTTGTTTTGAAGAACTTGCTTAGAGAAGGTTAAGGAACACACAACAGGGCCAAAAGGTGTGGACATATACAGCAGGGGTTAAAATTATAAGAATGGGTTAATGATGCCAAAGAAAGTTAATGAAATTAAGGGGAGTTTGGCCGGTGAAGTTGCTTAAATTTTTGGTTTCTATTTTTTTTAAATAAATTTAAATATTTTTTAAAAATTTAAGAACTATTTTAGGTTCCTATTGCCTTAACCTCTGCTGTCTTTGCCCATATATGTGGCTCTATAGAGATGTTTTGGCGATATGCTTTGGGCCAGAAAAGACCCAAAAGACTTGCAGCCTGGCCCTGGTTCTGATTCAACTCCGACTCTCAACTCTCCGACTCTTTCGTGTGTGACTTGTTTTAGATTTGTGCCGGAATGGGAGCTGGGGAGCTGCCTTTCAGCATTTGACAGCAGCTGTCAAAAAACGAAACTTGAAAGCGAACCGACCTCGGGCCCAAAGACTGTTGAGCCCTCAGATCCAAAGTAAAAGTTGCAATATGTTTGTTTTGTTTCGTAAGTTTCTGCTGCTGCTGCTGCTGCTGCCTTTTTTGGCCAAGTTTCTTACCTTCGGGGGGCCCCCAAGAAGTTGTAGTTTCCTTTCCTATAAATAGAAGAAGCAAAGAAAACATTTGTTAAGCTGTTGCCAAGGCTAGGAAAAACTTATATATCTCTCCAAGTTTTTTATATACATATATCTTATAGTTTCTAGTGTAAATAGACACATCCATCAATCGTAGAAATATTTTTATCGAGCTCCTCACTGTTTCTCTCGAAAATCGTTTAAACAAATCGAAAACATTTGCTGGACAGACATGGAACCATTAATTTCTCATCTCCCCCGGAATCTGGTTTCCATTGCGGCAATAATTATAATTCAGCTTTGTTTTCGGCAAAATTTAATATCTGACACTAATTGCTGCCACCGTTTTTGGCGATAATTGGTTGTGACTGGCCCATCAATGGCCCGAATTAACTTGTTTACAATTAAAGTGTCATTAAGTCATTATCTATTGTGCGAGAGGTCTCGTTTCGTTTTCGTTTTCGGTATCGTTTTCCCCCTTCTTCAGCTTTGCTTCCTTTTTATTATTGTTTTTATTGCTTTTATTGTTTTCTTTGTGTTATTTTTTGTTCGTTTTCATTTTGGCAAAATTTTTTGCCAAGCGCCCTTGACACGAGGCCGCCGGGTTTTTAGGGTCCCTCTCTCCTCGCTCTCTCTTCAAAAGTGCCAAAGTCAATATGGGTTGGGTTTAATACTCATGTGTCGAAAGTCGAAAGCAACCCCTGTCTTAGCCTCTTGTTGTTGTTGCCATTTCAAATTGCCAATTATCGATGAATTTGCAAAAACACAAACAGACAGCCGAAAAGGGGCGCGGCTCACAGTGTCTCTTTATTTTCTCCTTTCCCCCAGGACCTGTCAATATTTTGCTAGTTTTCTTTTTTTAGGGTTGGGTCTTCCTGCAGAATTATACAAATCAAATGGCACATATCGATGTCGATTGCAGTATTATTGCTGCAATTCAGCAGTTTTACCCCCTATTCAAAATGCAATCATCGTTTGCCGAGCTGTCCATTCAATTTGCTTGTGGAAAAGGCAAATAGAAAAGGTTGTAATAAATCCTGGCGAAAGGATTATGGCTTGATTTGGTAAATTTGAAATTGTATTCCTTTTGAAAGGTTTTATGTCCTTCTGTGGGCTTTTCTTTCAAGTTGTTGGTTTCTTTTGTGCAAAAATGAAAGGGTTGCTGGTTTTAATTGGCGATTCATAGCTTTATAGGGTTTTTCGATTGCTATTTTGTGGCGATTTTACAAATGAAATAACTAAAAAGATTATATAATAAACCAAATTAAATGCATTTATTTCTTATATTTTAAAACATTTTTCTCCCATCTTTTATCCACATTTCCATAATGTTTTTCCCATATTTTTCCTAACCGAAAAAAACCGTTAAAACTAGTGAAAAACATGTTTTGCCTTCGCCCTATTTAATCTTTCCCTTTTTTATTTTTTTTGTGGCTCCCTTGGAATGATTTCGATTCTGAAATCGGAGACCAACGGCAGCTGGTTGAACAGCACTACAGCCACGCCCTGAGATTTACATATGACTGCGCCTGTCAATTGCCATTAAGCCGAAGAAACTTTGCAGAAGAAATCGGTTTTCTTAATAGATTTTTTTTTATAGATTTTTCTTGAGAGACTTGAAAGGCAGCGCGGCGCGAATTGAATGGAAATGAAAGGAAACCCTAAGCAAACAGGGCCAGTCCTTTCGGTTTCAGTTCGTTCGTTCGTTTTTTTTTATTGAGAAAAGTAAGAATTAATTCAGCAGTAAATACAGTTTAGAGAAATGGTGGAGGGCTGCTGCTGCTGCTATTTAACATTCAAATTACAAATCCTTTTTTTTTATAATTTTTTGTGTTGAAGAAGAAAGGGTTCTGCGGAACAAATCGTGCTAGGAACCCTCGTCCTTGTTGACTTCAGCCGCTCGAGCTGATGATGATGATGATGGGGATGAGGATGAGAATGAAGATGAGGCTGAGGCTGAGGAACCCTTGTCCTTATTTGGGATGCAACTCATTTGCATTTCTATCTCTGTATTTGGTATCTTCCCGAGCCTTGTATCTACCGAATGCGTGAGAAAATTGTCAGCATATTGATTCGACAATGATTATCAAGAGTTATGCGCATATTTAATTACTGTCCTCCTCTCCGCGGAATTTATTTGAATTTTTGTTGCATTTGCTTATGGAATTTGCATTTTCATTTGCAGTTTAACTTAAGTTGAAGTGCAAATACTACTGGGTTTTTTTTGTTTAAATATTTGTACAGCTTTCGGTTGATTGACAAGCCGCAAGTTTTCCCTTTTAATTTTCCGGCAGCTGTTTTCCCTGCCTTGGAATTTTTGTGATTCTGATTAGATGTGTAATTAGGCGTGACCCCGGAGACCTGGCCATCATTAGAAAAGAAAAAAGGATCAAATGCTTGTCCGGCACATGCTGCTATCTAATTTTCTTTTTCCCCTACTCTTTCCTTTGGGCCTTTCTCCGCCTTTCTTTGGGTGATTCGCTGTTTTTGTCTCACCCGCTGGGCGCTTTTTTGGCACCAAACAAATGGGGACGTGGCTCTCCATGCGGAGAAATGCCAGGCGTTGATGAATGTCGTCCCACCAGAAGAACATGGGAAAACCTCACGCCCAGGACACGAAGAAAAAATTGTAAATCAAAGGGAAAATAGAGAAATAATAAACAGGAAATGTCTATTTTATTTATATATTTTTATATAATATTTTTAGTTTTTTTACATATTTTTATACCCTTGCAGGGTATTATAATTTCAGTCAGAAGTTTGCAACGCAGTGAAGGAGACGTTTCCGACCCTATAAAGTATATATATTCTTGATCAGCATCAACAGCCGAGTCGATATAGCCATGTCCGTCTGTCCGTCTGTCCATCTGTCCGTCTGTCCGTCTGTCTGTTTCTACGCAAACTAGTCCCTCAGTTTTAAAGCTATCTGAATGAAACTTTGCATATAGTCTTCTATATACTCTCACTGCTATATATGTCGGAACGGGCCGGATCGGACGACTATATCATATAGCTGCCATACAAATGTTCGATAAATTTTTCGAAAAAAAATTATAACTTTGCTGTTTTTTAACATTTTTGCACCATTTTTTAGATATGGCCATTCTATATTATTTCTGAATTTTGGTAAAAATTTTATGAAAATCGGACGACTATATCTTATAGCTGCCATAGAAACGATCGGGAAATTAATAGGAAACAAATTATAACTTCGTTGTTTTTCAACGTATTTTCATCTACTCTGAGATATAAGCTTATTTTATTATTGTAGAATTTTGGTATAAATTTCATGAAAATCGGACAACTATATCATATAGCGGCCATAGGAGCGATCGGTAGATGTAGAGAAAATGTAAAGGTGTGAATGTAAAACTGTAACTGTCAAACTGTAAACATTATAAGTATAGTTGAAATGTAATGAAATAATATCTGCAAGGGTATACAAACTTCGGCGTGCCGAAGTTAGCTTCCTTTCTTGTTATGTATATTTTTGGTGTTTAAGAAACAATTCCAAATAATATTCTATGTTCTTAGAGTAATTTATTTTACTTTTTTTTTTTAATCTTAAATTTTCATTTGTTATATATTATTTATAAATTAAATAAAATTGTTTTCAAAAAAGGAATGCCTATTTTATTTATAGAACATTTTTTATTTATTTTTCAAATTTTTTTTACTGTGTTAAAGAAACAATTTAAAATAATATTCAACGTTCTTAAAACAATTTCTTTTATTTTCTCTTGAAAGAAACATATATATATTACATTTTCATTTGCTATATATTATTTTACCATTTTCTAGTTACCCATATTTTCTCCCAGTGCCTAGCTAAAATTCCTAAAGCAGACCGAAAGTTGCTGTTTGGCTGCTTGTGGCATGTTTGCTTGTTTGGCTCTTTTGGCCCCGGCATTAATCAGTAGTCGGTGGTGCGTCTGACATTGTCAGAGAAAGGAGAGAATTAGAGAAGCCCGCCGAGAGAAAGAGGGAAAAGGAGATAGAGACAGAGAAGCGGTTGCTAGAAGGGTGCATGTTCGGAGGGATCTACTTATTATTTCAGTGTAATTAATAAAGATTAAACGCTGTGACACGGCTAGACTGACTAAACTGCTGCTGCTGCTGCTGCTCCCTCCTTGAATGGAAAACTTTCTAGTTGTAGCTGCTCTGTAATTTTCAGCATTTTCCCCTGATTTGTCCTGCTGGTGACAGTTGCCATATTTAAGCGAATAACAAGCCAACTTAAGATTAATGGCTTCAAGTCTCTAGAGAACAGCAACAAGAAGTCTGTGCAAATTAAACTTGAAAGTTTCCAAATATAAGAGCAACGATGAAAAAACCAAACTTCATCTGGCATTTAAAATTTTTGTTCAACCATAAATATCCAATGAACCCATAAAAGAAACATAAAATCGTATTATGTTGATCATAAATTGTCAGTCTGAGAGATCACAGCTCTGATCTTTTATGCATTTGGTTTGGGATCAGTTTTCAGTCTTCTCAATGCTTCGTTTTTTTTTCCTTTTAGTTTGCATAAAATTTGATAAACAAACTAATAAACATAAACTAAGATTAATGCATTCATATATCACTCAATAAACTCAAAATTTGGGTCATCAAGTGCAGTCCCGGGGTCTGTTTTCCATGTCTGCTTCTGGTATCTATGTTGGCGAGGGTGCCTACTCCTCCTCCTCCTCCCCCACTTGTACTTATGCTTAATTGCAATGGTAATTAATAATGTTATTTATTAGACAAACATGGGCCTGACTGCTCCTCGTTGCCTGGATGACCTCACTTGAAAAGAATTGTGTGTGTGTGAGTTTTTAGTGCACTGAGAGAAAATTAGGGAAGTTCAAGAAATAATTCTGTGGAATTTTAAAAAAATTTTTGGTTATAAAAAAGTTTAAGTATAAATTAAAATTGTATCAATTTTAATTTAGTTTTATTTTTTATTGATTTTAATTAATTTTTTATATTCTAAAAGTAGGTAATATTATACATTTTTAGGGAAAAAAGGAATAACAGGCTTGACGTATGCCACAATTTTATTTTAAAATATTTAAACACAATATTAAATACCTAATTATATTATTTATATAATATAAAACTAATATTTTATGTTTGGAAGCTGTTGAAAAATTCAACAGTTATTTTTTTAACTTTATAGAAATTTTAATAAAAGTCGATCTTCTGGAAAATAAAAGCACTCTTTATAAATTTTTATCTTTAAGAAGCTCAATAGTTTTTAAATTTTAAAAATATTTTAGAATATATTTAATAAATTTTTTAATTCAAAAACTATTTTTTTGTATCTTATATATATTTTTTAAATTTAATTTTAATATATATCCCCGCGTAATATAGACTTTTTCCTAATATCATCCTAAAATTTTCTCCCAGTGCTCAATTGTGTGACTCGTGGCTCCTCGCTAGATGTGTGTCATTAAGTAAATTAAGTAAATAAACATATGCCCGGCTACCAGATATGGGAGGGGGCGAGAAAAGAGCAGAAGGAGGAGCAGAGGGGGACAGAGCAGGACGGCAGATCGAGTGAGTGAGAATGAGCGACTTTGGGCATAATTAATTGCCAGTCAGCCGTTGGCCTCGTTGATGTTGAAGTTGAATTAACCCCCTTTGGCCGGGCATGGACAGCTGCCACACCACACCACACACACCAGAAATTCCCTTTTGCCGTCCGGCTTTATCTTTTTCGAGGCGCGTTAGTTTTTGCGCCCTTTAAGTTGAGTTTTTCGGCCAAACGAGGAGCAGGACTCCGACTCCTTCCTCTTGGCCTTATGCGCATTTCAACGCCTTCATTTGCATGCGTTTTATGGCTTAATAGTGCCCCGCCTTATCTGTTGCAAATTTTCAGTCAATAGATTTTCGATAAGGCCCCCCTGCTCTTAGTCTTACAACATTTGCATTTCATTTGCACCGAAAAAGAACGTCCGAAAAAGGCTTAAAACCAGTTGAAAATTCCTTGAGGGCCTGGCCAAAAAATAACAAAAATAAAGGTAGAAAGTTGTGTTCTTTTGCAAGTCTTGTTGCTTCTTTGTTTATTTTTTTGTTGTTGTGTTTTTTGTGGCAGCTTCCGCGTAAGCCTTAGCCTTTCCTTAACCTTTCCTCGGGCCATGTCTGCGGCACCTCATCATCAAGGAGCAGCTGGAATCCTCTGGTTCGGCATCGGCACCTCTCCAATTCCAGTTTCTTGCCAGCAAAATTGAGACACAATTCACGAAAAAAAAGAGTCTCGGAAAACGTTTAATTTCGTTTTATTGCCCTAGCACGATTTATTGAAATTATTTCTCGATTGCTTCTGTTGATTTCTTTAATTTAGGCCGCGCGTTTTCAGGTAGTGCATATTTTTTTATGATTTGTATGAGAATAAGGCTTATAACTTTATTGTTCAACTTGGTTTTTTTATGGCCTTTGCATGTTAAATAATAAACTTTAATCTCATTTCTGTAATTGCTAACAATAAATATGGAATATTAATGGTTTTACAGATAAATATGGTATTAACTTTAATTTTTTTAATAGTTTAATGTCTTGTTTTAAATTATTTCTTATTTGAATATATTTTTTTATAATATTTGCTGGCTTTAAAAAATATAATTACTTTATGGGAAGAGTTTATTAATCCAGTTTCTTTTGATGGAGAAGGTTCTAGGATTCAAATATAATTTTAAATATTTAATTTCCATTAAAAATTTAATCTTTTTAAATGTTTAATGACTTCTTATTATCTATTTTTTATAATATTTACTGGCTTTAAAAAATACAAGACTTTATTAATCCAGTTTCTTTTGATTTAGAATTTTTTAAGCTGCATACATAAATTCCAAAATTTATTTTTCATAAAAAAGGTAATCCCAAACATTAACCTTAAACATTATAAACAATAAGATTTGTTTTTAGACTAGTTCTAAGCTGCATTCAACAGGCTATCTCGTGGTTTTTATGACTTTGCTGGCATTTCACAAAATGTGAAAACTCATTACCGATTATGCAAATGTTTTTGAAATGCAAAATGTTTGTCGCTCGTGCCGCGGCCCATAAAATCATATACATATAACACTCTCTTAAAAGTGAAACTGAACCATACGCGTTACTTAGATATATAGATTGTCAGAGGCTGATTTGTATCTGCAATCCGCTAGGATCGATCGTTTGGAGTTTCTGTAATCGAAACTGATTTGCATATTTATAAGCCTTTTTCTCTCTGTCCAGTTTATGTTAATTGCATGGGGTCTATGAAATTAATACTTTTTATCGCGTTGCTCAATCGCCGCGAACTTGTAGCTCACATGTTAGCTGTAAATTAAGTTGACAACTTGGCGCTGCCTGGCTGCCTGACTTGGCTCACAAGCTGCCCGCAATTGAAAGTGTCTATTGGTTATTTTTTATATTTTTTCTTAGAAGTAAAGTGCATAAATCTGTTGAGAATATTCTAAAAAATGTATAGTTATGCTCTTGAGTTGAGTACTTAAAAGGTATTTGTCCAATTAAGATTGACAATATTATGTAAATTGTTTTTGAAGGTAATAAGAAAATGTTGGGGGTTTGATAAAGAGTTAAAATCTTTTTATATGAATTTTCTAATATTTCTAGCTTAGTTTTTATATGAATTTTCTACTGACTTAATCTCTAATCTTGAAACTTTCTCTTATATTGTGTTCTCTTCTTCACTTTTTTCTAACAATTTTCTACAATTTCTTTTGAATTTGATCTCCCTGAAAACAGTACCTTTCGCAACCGCTTTTAAGGTCGATAGAAATGAGCCGAAGGCTGGGCTTTATTTTGTTTTCCCATCGCGCTGTACCAGCTGTGCCTGCTCACAAAAGGCGACCCATCAATGCCCATCAAGTGCTCCCCACATTCAACTAGCTGGCCCGTGTGTGTGTAGTGTGTGTGTTGTGCGCTGTGTGTGCCCATATAGTGAGCTGTCCCGTACACTTTACTACGCAAATAGCCGTGGCTATTCAAACGCCAAAAGCAAAGCAACTGCCATTAGCTTTGGCTGCGAGTTGGCTCCGTTTGTCCGCGTTTCGCCGGTTTCGCCAATGTTTGTCTACGCCTGACTGCCTACTCACTAAAGACAGGTCTACCCCCTCCTACCACCCTTCCTCCTCTATTATTTAGCAAATATTTAGAATATTTGAGCAACAGCTAACGGGTAGACTTGACCACTTTGGCTACTGCATGCGCTTCGGCAAACAAATCATGTTTGAAAAGGGGTTTGGGCGGGGGGGAGGAAGGGTTATATTGCGGGGGGGCTTTAAGCCAAACTGCATGTCAAAGTTATTGTGTGTGTGTGTGTGTTTTAAACTTTCTATAAATATGGACATGACTTTGGCTAGTTTTGGCCAACAAATATCATAGTCATCTTGGCCCCAAAAGGCGGAAGAGGAGGATTTGATTTAAGATAATTTTGGGGTTTAAGTGGAAATTTTTATAGATTTTATATAGTTTTTTTATGTGTTTATATAAAGTTTATTAATTGTTTTATATTTTTTAATTTTTTTAGATTTATATATCATATTTTCTGTATAGGTTAAAAGTATTTAAACTAGATTTTAAGCAGAATTTTTTATTTAAATTGTAGAGGGAACTCATTTTTAAGATTTTAATTAGTCACAATGTCTTGTAAATAATTCTTTTATTTTGGATTTAGATTTTACTTCTAAATATAAATGAATTATTTAGGTCCATATTAACCTTATTTTGCCTTTTAAATGAATAATAACGTTTTGTAAATAGTTTATAATATTTTTTCTTGTTTTTATTTAAATTTAAAATTATTAAAAAATGTTTGTAAATATTTTCTAATATTTTTTCTTGCTTTTATTATATAAAAATAGTAAATAAAATAAGTAAAGCTTATATATATATAAGTTTGTCGGTCTTTAAAGATATAATTCTTACCTTGACTTGATTTTTCTTCTTCCAGTCACTTTTTTAGAACCGCAATCTGCAAATAAATAAATAAATAATATATAAGTTAGATCGGAAATATATAAAAAATTTAATTTATGAGGCAAAATCTTCTAAAAAATAAATCAAATATATTTTTAAAAATTCTAAAAATTTTTCCCATCAATTTTTAAAGTTTCTTACACATATTACTTTCCCCAAAAATTACTTGTTAAAATTTCTGTCAGTGTTGGCCATCATCATTATCAACATCATGGACACATCGGCATGATTGCGGTCGTTAAAGCCACCTGCTGTCTGGTATGTTGCGTCTAGCTGCTGTATTTTGGCCTTTAACCTTTTCGTCTTTCGTCTTGTGTGTGTTTTTTTTTGGCCAGGCCAAAAGCGCAGGCTTGTAGCTTATGCCTATAACGTTGGCAATGGCGTTTGGCCATCTGCATATTGCGGCTGCGATTGGGACGCTTTTTGGGCCGGGCCCCAAAGGCCGATGTGCAGAGCGGACTGTTGTTAACAAGCTTGTTAATAAATTACCAACAAAATGGCCATAAAATGTGCCAAGCATAAATCATGGCGCGCAATCTGTTCCCTATACCCCTGCCAGCATACATAAATAAATAATAGCAAGTGTGGACACACACCGACCGGGCAAAATTAGCGACAAGAAATACTATATAGCCCAAAAAGTTTGAAATTGAAATTGATAGCGAAACAAAGCCCAGACACACGAAATAATGAAAAACTAAATAAATTCAAATGAGTCAAACGGCGGCAGCTGCATAAATCAACTCAATTAGCGGGGTATTATAAGCCGATCGCACAGATTCGCAAAAAAAAAAAATAAATAAAAATAAATAAATGGTAGCCAGAAGTCACAAGGAGTTGTCGTTGTCTCAAAAGTGCCAAAAGAAATATTTAAAAATCAATGAGTTCAATAATAGATTGAAAAATCGTTGCTATTATTGGAAACAGGTTTAAAAAGTGGCTTTAAATATTATTTTAAGCAGTAAAAAATGAGAAAATATATTGCAAAATTATTAAATATTCAAGAAACTATTTAACATATATTTATCATAAATTAAAATTGAATTTAATTAAAAAAATAACTCTTATCTCTTAGAAAGTTCTCTTATGGCCCGTAAATGAAGTTTATGTCATTTAAGCCTTCAAAATTATTTATATCTTTCCCCTAGAAGATCTGACAGATACCTTTATCCCCTCCTCTCTGACAACCAGGTGGTAAAAACACAAAGATCGAAGAAGGAAAGAGCCCCCAGGAAGGCAGCTCTCGTCCCGTCATTATGGTACCTTGCTCGGTTTTTGGCTTAATTTTTATAGCTGCGGTTCATTTTGTGTCATAAAAAAGGCATTTTCAACACATTTTTTAACGACACAAGTGCTGGGGCCCAGACTGGAAATTGTGGCCAGCATTTGCAGCTTTTTTTTTTTGTGGCCCAAAGGCGTTGGCGTTTGCAGCTATAAACCGATTGTAATGGACAAATTATAATAATGATATGGGGAGTATATTCTCCCCCATATGTCACTGGATATATACGCTCGAAATTCAAATGTCAGACTGGCATCTGCTTAAAGATACAACCGATTTGGCTAGTTGCTTGTGCTTAAATTAGTGGAAATTGCTTTAAATTTATAATAAGATGTGATCTGTGAGGCAACGTACACCAAACAGACGCCATGTCATGTCAGATCATTAAGAAAATATGGTCAAAAATGTTTCAATTAAAATACAGCACAAAACTAGAGGCAGCAACCGAACTCTCAAGCTGAAAGGAAACTCACAAAATTGTAGGCGGACAAGTTTTTTCGTTGCTTTTTATTCCAAATTGTATTTATATTATGTTTTTTTTTTTGCCATAAATTGTGTAGGCCACTTTACTGTCAAGTCATTAACAGCAACAACAACAACAACAGGGCGGCAAGTGAATCATTAGGAACAAAAGCCAAGGGTATAAACTATAGAAAATATATTTTGTTGGATTTTTTTATAGCCTTAGCTTGGGGGATTGATCTGTAGGGAAATTTGTTTCACGACTTTCGATCATAAACATTTTCCATTTTGGCATACTTTAATGGTGTGTCGTTAATTAGTTGAATTTTAATATATGAAATATATATATTTGTTTGAATGTGAAAATTTCTTGTATTTTAATTAATTCACATTTTTATTTTATCTTGTTTCGCTTAAGCATGTCTAGATCATGTCTAAGGCTTAAGTGCATTTTGAATTTAGTATAAATATTCGTGAGACCTGCTTAAAATAGTTTTAAGCTTAAGTGAATATTTTATTCTAATTTTTATGATAAATATTAATAAAATTCTAAGCCTTATTTGAACTTGTTTTGAGTTAGTAATGAATTTTTCAATAGGTTCATATATAATTTATGAATATTTAGACTCTGCTTAAGTTTTATTTATAAAATAAATATTTATATAAATTATTTCTGGGTATTTTGGCAATGATTGATTTTTAAATATTAATATTTTTAGCCTCACTAATTTAAATAAATTATAAAAACCTCTCTTTTTCGTCATTTCAGAAATACAGCAGCCTGGGGTAAGTGCCTAAAACCACTTTTTATTTTATTTTTATTTTTCGAAATATTTTTTCTAAAGAATTTCTGCTTAAGCATTATTTATTCTGTTAAAAAAAAGGCAAAAACTCCACTTGAAACCCCTTTAAAAAAAGAAACTTTAAGCTGGGGGTATCATTAGATGGCGGTAAAAGTCGCATTGGTCGGCAACTATTCAAGGTTATATCTGTAATTGACTTATCAGCCCACTCGTTTGGCTTTCAATATTTTATTTATACGAACAAACAGCTTCAAGACCGCTTAAGCCAAAGTTCGCAACAGACAAACCGTTTTAACTATTTTATTTAATTATTTTTCTAAAAACTTCACTAAGCTGAAAAACGTTGGGCTGTTAAAAACGCCAAAAAGTCGGTTCATGGCGCTGTTTAAACCGCTTGGGCAAGTGGGGCGCTGTTTAAACCGCTTAAAATCCCCAAAAACTTTTTGGTTTACACTTTTTATTTTTGCCCGTCATTCAGACACCCACAACGTTGCCATAATGGAAAAATAAATCTTCGATATGTTCGGGAGGTACGGCAGAAGTTAAAAGCCAAAAAGAACCGAGTTTGAAAAGGCGTTAGATTCGTTGCGGGCGCGCGCGTTCGCCTCATATTTTTTTTATTTTATATACATTTTTTTGTTGTGTTCATCTCCCTGTATGTTGTTTTTTTTCACTTGCGCACATCAAAGCGTCAAAAGCCGCTAAACAAAATGCCCACACTTGGGCTATGGCCACATAACAAATGCCTAATTGTCTTGGCGGCACTCGTAAAACCTACAAAATTATTACGGCTGCAAGAAAAGACAGCGGATAAAAAAAAAAAAAACTACAGAAGAAAGACCGGGGCACAGGAACCTGAGAATAGGAGAAGAAACAAAAAATAAATAGCAGCAGCACACATAAAATAACATAAAACTGGCAGAAACAAACGCGCCACTTCACATGTTCTCTTGGCCAGGCCGAAAGCCATCTAAAGTGAACTGGTCATGACGGCGACAAAAGTGCCAAAGGGTAAACTAATGACAGTTTAATTTACTCCCATTGCGATGAAGTGTAACGACGCTCAAAACTCAATTAGGTCTCCGTCTCTATTCTGCGATTAATGCCGCACCTGCGGTCAGGTGAATAGTTACAGGTTGCAAGTTGGTTGGTTTTTTTTAGGTATATTTAGTAAGAAGCAATTAGAGAATTTGGGTCTGGAAGTGGGAATAATTTTAAGAGAATTTTTTATAAGATTTTAAAAGATTTAAGCCTTATTTTAAGATTTTTATAGAATTTTCAATCAGGTAAAATATGAAATGGCAAATGTTTAAAACATTTTTTCTATGATTTTGGAAGGTATTCATTTAACAGATTATTTAACCATGTAAAATTTCAAATTTACAATTTTTAGATAATTTTTAACATGTTTTTTTAGCTCAATAGGATTTTATTATTTTTTTTTTTTTAATTTTATTAGAATTTTAAAAATTAAATCGCTTATATTTAGAAAATTATTTAAATGCTCTAATTAGCTATTAATTTATTAAAAAATTGTATTGAAACCCCAGAAAAAAGGATAACATTTTGTATATTTTTTATTTTATATTATTAAAATTTATATATATATTCTTTATTTAATTTTTATAAATATTCTTACACATAAAACCTTATTTTTAAACCCCAAATAGAAGGAACATTTTTATGAATTTTGTTTTTATATTAAATTTATATTTAAATTCTTATTTTATTTTTTATATAAATTCCTACACATAAAACCCTATTTTTTCAACCCCCCTTGTAAGTCTTGTTTCAGGTAGTAGTATTTGGCACTTTGGCCAAATGCCGCTCTAATGCTAGCTGGGTTTTTAGTCCGGTTTTTGGGTAAGGTTTCACTTGGCCACGGGGCAGGTGCAATCATCGGAGGCAGTACAACCACTCTTGGGGATGGGTCATGGACTTAAAAACGCATAATTTGTTGGCTTTATGAGCCGCTCTATCGGCCATATCTCCCTCTGTTTTTTTTTTTCTCCTGAGAGCTCTGCAGCTCTGCAGCTGGATCTCTTTGTCTCAATTAATTCGCCTAGTTTATGTTTATGACATTGGACTCTACGCATATTTCTGTGCCATAATTTATGATAAGAGCGCGGTTACAACGACTGTAGAGAGGATGCACAAAACTCCTTCTTTTTTCCAGAGTGGATGCCGCATTCTTTATTATAATGAACTTTTACGCAGTGCGTATCTCATAGATATATATATAGGAAAAACTGCATAGGATATAAAGGTTATGCCGGCCGGAGACCCCTTTTCTGAATTTATGTTATTAGCCTCGTAATTTCGTTGAATATTATTGCATTTATGTTTCGTAGGCGCTGCGCCTAATGAGTTTTTTCGCTGAGCTCCGTCTTTTGGGTTGTTGTTCTTGAAATTTATGCATTGCCATTGTTTTCCCTTGCGAAG